GCCCTACTTCAACGACCAACCCCGACAACGCTGGCACTCCTCCATCAACTTGAAATTCTTCAGGGGCGTTAGTCCTCAATTTCGATCCTTTTGGTCATTTGATGACAAAGGGGGAGAAATCTGAGTTAGTCTTCAAGCGGGTTTATATTATGGGCGTTTTGTTAAGTTACAACTCTCGTTCTTCTGAAACCTTTTATTGGATCGAGTTGTAATCTTAAATCCGATGGTGCCTTGATACTTTTGGTCGTGCTCTGATGCTTTTGATACACTGAGCTCTGATACTTTTGATGTGCTATTCTACATGCTTATTCCTCATTAATATTATTGCACGCATGCTGAATCTCATCAGGCACCATATTTCATCACGCATTTCAAATTCTTCATATTATATATCAAATGCGTGTATGAATTACAAGATATAGGGGGAGGTCTCCATGATTCAATTCTTCAAATGTGCATTGCCTCAAAAGCAAATTCCTCACTATGCACATATTCAGGGGGAGTTCTTCTATATCTTGCAATCAAATTCCTCAATATCAGTATTTACACTTCATATGTTTTTCCCCGTTGAAAACTTAACATATGTTGTCATCAATCACCAAAAAGGGGGAAATTGTAAGTGCATCTAGTGCCCCTTAGTGATTTTGGTGTATTGAAGACTTATAGGTTAAGTAACTGATGCGTTTGTGAGTGTACACAGGTCTATAAGTCTATGAGGAGTTTGATATTTATAGAGAAAGTCGACCCCTAAAAATGAAGTTCGTCGACTGAAGACTTTGATATTCTGAAGACTTTCTGAAGACTTTGAAAGTGAAGAAATTGGTGTGACCTTGAAGACTTGGTATTCACTTGAGGAACATGAAGCGTGAAGACTTTTGTTTTCGTAGTTTCATTTTCTCTTTCTTGAGTCATAGGAAACACCGTACTGTTAAAGGGGGTCGAGGAAATACTAAGGAAAAATTTCCATGTGATGCTCAACTCAAAATCCTACACCTACCAATCCCTTCGAGTGAAGCCATTGGAAATCTCATACAGTTCAGTCAAATTCTTCAGTGACAGAGACGCAGTTCTTCTGGTCACTGAGGACTTTGCTCTGACTGAGGAGTTAGGAATTCGCCAGTGCGAATTGCGTACACAGTGAGGAACATGATAGCCCTGAGGAATTTGAGAGTCAAATTTCCGACCGTTGTTGTGCTGCTCGCCAGCTGTCCAAAATATCCTGTCCACCTAACGGTCATATCATTGAAGGGCATTTATGTCTTATCATGTCGGGCTGCTCCCTAGGCTATAAATAGCCGCCCCCTACAACCACTAGTTGGTTGGCTGCTCCGAGAGAACTTGACACTTGTCATTTGAGAGCAACCCATCCTCCGAGGACTTTGAGCGAAAATCATCAAGTGAGGAAAATCCAAAACCAAACCCCCACAAACCCAAAGTGATTGAGCATCACTGAAGAAATTGATCCTGCGTGGATCCGACGCTTGTTACCTTTGAAGACTGTGCTTCTTCCAGACGGTTAGGCGTCAAGGTCTAGAGCATCCAAGAGGAATTGTGGATCGCCGAGTGACCAAGTCTGTGAAGGTTTGGAATTCACCTGAAGACTTACCACGAGTGATTGGACGAGACCTGCGTGGTCTTAGTTCAAGGAGAATACGGTGAGGACTGGGTGTCCTGAGTTGCGGCTCAGAGACTGGGTGTCCGGGACTGCGTGTCCTCGAGTTTAAATACTCAGCCGCTCCAACCAGACGTACAACGGAGACAGCAGTTGGAACTGGTTTACCAAATCATTGTCTTCACCAACTAACTGGTTCTATTTCCTCAACTCTTTCATTTCCTCATGTCCGTGTTGTATGTTGTTCATATCTGTGCTTGAAGACTTTGACTGAAGACTTTCACAAATTCCTCAGTTTAATTTCTTCAGTCTGTTTGTCTTCATCTTGTTATCCTGTGTTTACGCTTTCTGTACTCTGTGCCTGTCTTCATTTCATCATGATGACTATGTTTGTATCCTGTTATGTTTACTTCTGAGTACTTATTCCGCTGCAAGTAGTTCTTCGCTAAGGAATTTCCTCACCAGCAAATTCCTCAGTGAAGAACTCATAAAAATCGCCTATTCACCCCCCCTCTGGTCGATATAACGCACTTTCAAGAGGTTTCCTGGGTCTCACTGGATATTACAGAAAATTTGTGCAGAACTATGGCCTTTTAGCAAAGCCTCTCACACTGCTGCTAAAGAAGCAAGCATTCCAATGATCTGCTGCAGCTGATACATCATTTCAGCTACTCAAGAAAGCCATGGCCTCTACACCTGTTCTAGCATTACCTGACTTCAACAAGACATTCACTGTTGAAACAGATGCTTGCAATACTGGAGTTGGAGCAGTACTCACTCAGGAAGGTCATCCCATAGCTTACTACAGCAAAGCACTGGGAGTGAACAGTCAGAAAGTTTCTATTTATGAGAAGGAATTCTTAGCTATCATGATGGCCATTGATCGATGGAGATCCTACTTGTCCAGAGCCCCATTTGTGATTAAAACAGATCACCAGAGCTTGTGCCACCTGGGAGATCAGAATCTTATAGCTGATCTGCAGAGGAAAGCTATGACCAACTTAGTGGGACTGGATTTCTCAATTCAGTATAAGAGAGGTGTGGAGAATACAGCGGCTGATGCATTATCCAGAGTGGCTCGTCTGTTTGCAGTACAAGCTGTATCCACCAGTAAACCTGTGTGGGTACAAGAGATATTGAACTCATATACTGTAGATCCAGTTGCCCAGGAAATGCTCACCAAAATGGCAGTTGATCCTGAAGCTTGTCCTGGTTTTCAGCTTCTGGAAGGCCTGATCAGATAGGAAGGAAAATTATGGGTGGGAGCTAATGCTGGGTTGCAAACCAAATTCATATAGGCTTTCCACTCCTCTCCAATTGGTGGTCACTCTGGTATGTTGTCTACTTACCACAAAGTGAAACAGTTGTTTAGTTGGCCTGGTCTCAAAAGGGATGTGGAGAATTTTGTCAAACAATGCAACATCTGTCAGCAAGCAAAACATGAGTTGTGCAGAGTGTCTGTACTGCTACAGCCTTTGCCCATTCCTGATGGTCCCTGGCAAGCCATTAGCATGGACTTTATCAAAGGATTGCCTAAATCTAAGGGGTTTAATGCAATTTTAGTGGTGGTGGACCGTTTTACTAAAGTCAGTCACTTCTTACCCCTGAAACATCCTTTCACTGCAGCTTCAGTAGCAAAAATATTCCTGAACACAGTGGTCAGATTACATGGTATTCCTCTGTTTATTGTGTCTAATCGAGATAAGATCTTCACCAGTGCATTTTGGAAGGAACTGTTCAGGATTTGGGATACTGAATTGCAAATGAGCACATCATATCACCCCCAAACGGATGGGCAAACAGAAAGGGTCAACCAATGTCTTGAGATGTATCTCAGATGTGCTGTTCATGATGCACCAACCAAGTGGGCCTCATGGTTACCTCAGGCAGAATTTTGGTATAACACTACTTACCATTCTACTTTGGGATGCACTCCATACAAAGCTCTCTATGGATTTGATCCACATGTGGGACAACTGTATAGCCAGACCAGGTCTCTCAATGCTGAAGTGCAGAGTTGGCTGTCTGCACATACAGAACACACTGCAGCTTTGAAGGAACAACTAGCCAGAGCCCAGAGCAGATACAAACACTTTGCTGACAGAAAGAGAACTAACAGACAATTTTCAGAGGGTGAGATGGTTTACTTGAGACTACAACCATATGCACAATCCTCAGTGGTTAATCGCCCTTGTCACAAGTTAGCCATGAAGTATTTTGGCCCGTTCAAGATTCTAAACAAAGTAGCACAAGCTGCATATAGACTGGAGTTACCGAGGGGCAGCTTGATACATCCAGTGTTTCATGTCTCACAACTGAAGGAACACATACCTGACCACACTCCAGTTTTCTCCACCTTACCGGCGCCTTTGGACTTGTCTGATCCAGAAATTCAGCCAAAAGAGATACTCGAGCGTCGTTTGGTCAAAAAGGGCAACGCTGCTCACCTGCAAGTGCTGATCAAATGGACAAAATGTCCAGCAACAGATGCGACCTGGGAGGACTACCAGGTGCTCCAAGCGTGCTACCCGGCTCGCCGGCCGCACCAGCTTGGGGACAAGCTGACTCTCCAGGGGAGGGTACTGTCAGTACCAACAACCTGACAGGAATCGATAAGCAACAGAGGAGGCATACTGAAGTTCAGAATAGGTGTTGGGCCATAGGTGTGGGGTGTGCGAGTGGGCCGTGGGCCGAACGTGTAATGAGAACGACCCAGCTTATATAAGCGGGCGAGCTACTGTAGCAAGGCATCAATTTGAAATGGAATAATTCGAACCTCTCATTCTCTCTTATCCTCTCTGCTAGCGTCTCCTACGTGCTGATCTCGTCCTCCTTCTCCAGCTCCGATCCCGATCCACTCTCCCTCGTCGCCAGCGAACCCAGCCACCCCTAGGGTGTGACAAAATTCAGTAGTGCAACCTGCACAATTTAAATTTGAACGAATTCATGAATATTTGAAAAAATTATATACATTTATATCTTGTAATCATTTTTTTAGGAATTGTAATCATATATTTTAATCTGTAATGAAATCCATGCAGCCAGATTTTTGCCGGGGAAAACCGGAAAACTGAACATGAAAGTGCATAAGCCCCGAATTGGACTGGCCCATCGGCTAGCTCCTCTCTGAAATGAGGTAAACAAAATTCTTTTATTGACGATAAACATATGATTATGACATAGCACGCATGAACGGGAAAACCATCACTAGTTTTTACACATAGCACAACAGTGTCTCAGACGTGAGCTGCGATCACACAAGCGTAATTACCTACTTTTCTAGGGGGCAATGCATATATGTATATATATACAGGCACACGTACACTTAGCTAGAGAGCATACTATACTGCATGCAGAGGGCGCGCTTCGACGAGTCGTTCGTTACTCGTTACGCCCACTTGGCCATGAGGGACATGGCGCCGGCGCCGAGGAGGACGGCGGCGAGGCACACGAGCTGGAGCCTGACGCTGCCCTGCAGCTTGGGCCCCAAGAAGTCGGCGGCGAGGAGCTCCACGAGCGCCATGTAGTGCAGCAGCCCCGCGGACGCGGCGTTGAGCAGGCCGACGACGATGAGCGCCGTGGGGCTGTTGTCCCTGTACACCTTGGTGAGGGCCAGCCCCAGCGCGACCCCGAACGGCATGGTGGTGGAGAAGAAGAAGACCAGCCCGGCCTTCATCTTGACGCCGTACTCCGCCTGGAGGATGCAGCCGCCGAGTCCCATGCCCTCGAAGAGCTGGTGGAAGCAGATGGCCGCCACCAGCGGCCGGATGGTGCACACGCTCTGCGACGCGCCCATGCCCAGCCCGATCACCACCGAGTGCACCACGATGCCCATCTCGAGGACCTGCACGTACACGTTAAGCATGTCGAAACATAAATTAGACGTGCAAATTAATACTGTACATATACTACTCTGTCTTACTCGAGTACTAGCTAGTTTGAAGGCAATAGCATGGGACAGCAGACTTTTTTTATCTTATAGGTGATTTCGTACATTGACGTATGGACACGGTGGTTGTTTATTTATAAAAAGGGGCGAAAGCCTATTTTGAAAAAGTGCATGTCCATGCTTTTATGTTGGAGATTAGTGAGTCTCTAATCTATTGTGTCTGTGTTTACTTTTTCCAAATGGTGTCTGTGTTTACCTATTTCTCTCAGTTTATGCAGGTCAGTATTATTCTCTTTTTATGAAAGTATTATTCTCATCTGGGCCTATTCATTACAGGAATAAACTTATTTACCGAGTATCAGAAATACTCGGGGAAGGGCAAATAAGATTATTCCTGTGGTGACTTGCCTAATTGTGCAAAAGGAATTTGGATTCAGGAAGTCACAATACACAATAAATATGACCAAGTCTTAACACTCACTTTACTTATTTGATTTAGTCATATGAAGCTTCATTAAGTTATTATTAGTACCATCTCACTAGGGAAAAAGGTCAGCTTTGCGTGAATCATGCTTGCTAAACTTCATCTGTTTTGTAACCAAAGTCAAACATGCTACTCCTAGCCCCTTACTTGAGCTAATTAAATTTTGATGTGCGCATGTTAAACTATTATAGATAAAAATGAACAATTATGTAAAATATACTATGGTGCGGAGACTTTTATCCATGATTGTTTATGCACAAAATCCATGCACAATTCAATTATACAATGTGACACACCTAAATTTACATGCTTGGGTACCTCCAAAGTCCATGCCTAGTCACCGGAATCTTCAACACTGAGTGTATGTGGCAAAGTAGGATCTTTTGCCTCTGGATTGTAGCTCTATCATATTGAAATAAACTACTATTGATCTCGCAAAAAAAGTATGTTTCTTTTGTCTCTGTCTCTTTACGTGAAGTGTTATTTTAATGGATGAACAGCAAGCCTCTTGATGTATTGGGCCGGAAAGTCATTTTGCGCGCACATGCCTGCACATCTGCCACAATCCACATTCTTTAAGATTTGTGCAATTGTGGCCCACTGCGGTTTCATATGTATGTATTGCATACTTTGCCTTTTATGTATTTTAGAGCTCAAATATACAAAAAGTTCTGAAATCGAAATGTTGGTTCAAAAGATATGGGCGATTTAAGTTTGCAAAGACGAAATAAATGGGTGCATTTGTTGGGGGAATGAAGAAAGAATAGGCGACGCATGCATGCACCCCTCCAGTACTATCTGACTAAAACTGATGTTGATGGAACCTGCATACGTATATGCCGGCCTGTATAATTGTGTATTTCTGAAACGAAATGATTCACTTTTTATACGAAACAGTGTCACACTAATTTTAGGGTGGCAATGAGCGGTTGCGGGTCTGCCGGTACCTCATGGTATCGCGCAATTTTCCGCTTCGTTTATTGGGCCTGTGTTCGTTTGCTCTTGTTGCCACGTCATTGTGATGGGGCTAGTGCGTGCCATTGTCATTGCCACTCATCTAATCCATTTTTTATGAACACGGATACTATTTCATGCCTAGTGTTGTCTACTGAAATAATGGCGTCATTTCAGAACAAACATGTTTTGAAACCAATATATGACCAACGGATAAGAAAATAAGAAAGATACATGTACTTCTTAATGTGGTCCATTATGTCGAATACTTCTATCAAATAAGCTTTTAAAAGAGTGGGGCATTTTGGTGACCGGAGCCCTTAATTTTTGAAAAATTGAAACTTTAAACTTTCCAATTTAAAAATATCTGAAAAAATATGTAAGTACACAGGGACTAAATATATATGTATATATAAATTCAGGATGAAATACCTTAAAGGGACATGTACAAAAAAGACAAATTCATGGACTTTGCAGATGAATAGTATAATGTGTTGAAAAGCCCCAAATCTATTTTTTACACAACCCTCATTTCAATGTATGTCATTCTGAAAATTTACACACATGTACATTATACCTCCATATATATATGTATTTTTTTCAGAATTTTCTGAAACGTACAAATATGAATTTTGAAGTTTGCAAATGGAGGCCTTCATGGAGCTCGGCCTTCAAAAGCAATTTCCGCTTTTAAAACCAATATATTGTGAATGGATACACGGGTTGGTGACTAATCGACGCATATCATTTTCATGCAAGGCAAAGTCATACCCCCCGCCATTTGAAGTTGTTCAGCCTGCATATCCCATTCGATCATCTCCTCGAGATTTGACTGATTGTCTGAGCGAGAGATGTCATAGCTAAAAAAGTATGGACATATCTCCTTTTTTGTCGAAAATGAGGATCAACCCCAGTCTCTGCATCGACTAATGCATGCACACAACCATAAAAAGTGTCGAGACACATGTTTAATTGAATAACCATTGTCGAAGAAAGTTTTCAGATATAGCCTAAAGTAATTGTTTTAGCACTTTCTTTGCAGAGTGCAAGCTTCTATACATGAATTAATCGTGGCTGGTAGTAGAAAGTAATTTTTTGGAAGCTACAGTAAAAGCTAGAGTATGTACTGCAAAAGACTTTCCTGTTCGGTACGGAGCTCGAGAAATGTTGGGGCTTTTTGGATCGACGCCCTCATGCGTCAAGCCAAAAAATTGGACCGGGTACTCCTTTGGATGGATGCCAAAGTATTGGTTTGCCCACACCTACACATCAGCCCCAGTTCAATTCTGAGCCAAAGTTTTGGCAAGATCATGGGTGGTGGATTCCTTCGCCAATTAATTGGCGGGCCAACGATTGGCAGGGCGAGCATTGGCTCAATCCAAACAACCCGGCCTCCGACTTTGCGCCTACTCATAGTGGGGAGTATCATATACTAGTATCATGCATATGATACTACTATATGATGATACCTTTATAGTGCATATACGGTATTTACATATATTACTTTAACTTTCTCTTCCTTCTCTAATTGTCTGTCACATAAGTATGTTTGGTAGTCCCAAGTACATCATAATATCGGTTATGTTACCCCCATTATAGCCAGCCTGAAACATTGTTAGAGCCTTAGAGGTACGTACAAGTTCATCCATTAGTGACAACAGGAAATTAAGAAAGGCAAACCCAATCAATTAGCTGCCGCATAATTAAATTAGGAATTGTGCAAGTGCAACGCAAGATTACCTGAACGACAACACGGTTCCTGCGCAGCTGCATCTGGCCGGCCTCAGCATCTTGAGGTTTGTCCAACATCATGCCGTGGGCATGGCCATGTGCATGTTCGTGGCCGTGACAGTGGCAGTGTCCTCCCTGCTCCGGGCTCTCGTGGCTGGCGACAGCGGCGCTGCTGGGGCCGCTGCCCACCTTGTTCCGGTTGTAGAAGGTGAGCATGAGCGAGTCGACCGCGAGCGTGAAGAGGGCGGCGAGCATGGCGACGAAGGCGGTGAAGGGGAAGTCTCCCCACGGCTTCTTGGGGAGGCACGGCGAGCTGAGGTTGTCGAACGAGTCAGGCAGCACGTGCATGTAGCTGGTGGCGAGGATGACGCCCGACGCGAAGGCCTTGACGACGGAGAAGAGGCTGCGGCCGGGCTGGAGCGCCGGCACCGACCTGGCGAAGAGCGGCAGGCACACGCCGAGCACGCTGGAGACGAGGATGGCCGGGACGGCGATCAGCTTCAGGCGCAGCGCCTTGGGGACGTTGTGGCAGGCGTCGTCAGCCGCCAGGCCGGCGCAGACGTCGTCGGCCGCCGCAGGGGCCTGCGCGTAGGCGCAGGCGCAGAATACCAGGAGGGCGAGCGGGACAAGCACTAGGGCTTGCGAGGACGGCATTGCTCGAGCATGTGTGGTTTGAGCATGTGTGGCTGGCGGGTTTATGTAGGGTTTGGTGTTGGCGGGAAGCCGGCATGATTCATGCTGCTAATGAAGCTTGGAAACCGAGGATGGTTTTACCATGCATGACTTGTGTCGGCCGGCTGCGGGTTTCAGTATATACTCCACTTACCGTACATGTTTGACTTCGAGCATAACTGATGTCAGCTTAGACATGACTTCTTGATTGTGCGCCCGCCGAAATCGTACGACGGTTAATTAACGACTTCCTGCAGCAAGCTTGCGTCCTCCCGCCCACAGAAACCACACGATGCTAGCTGATTGGTCCTTTGCAAAAATGAGACAAGTATAAATATAATTTTGGGGTTTTTTTAGGCAAGTATAAATATATTTTGGATGTGTCTAGGGCTCATCTAGATGTGACATATCAATTGAAATAGGCAGGAATGGTGCGAAAGCTACTATCTAATGATGCACATTTCTAAAAAAAATGTGATGTATATTTTAAAACATGGTGCACATTTTTGAAAAATACACTATCAACTTTTTTAAAATAAGCGATGAACAATAAAAATTGATAATCAAAAGAAAGACAAAAACATTATGAAAATAAAAATGAAATAAGATAATGATAAAAGAAAAGAAGGATGGAAAAGAGAAAGAAAGAAAATATTAACAAAAATAAACGAAAACATAGATAAGTTCAAAAATATTTGCGAAATTAAAAAATGTTCATCAGTTTGGAAGAAGATCATGATTATTTTTCTAACCAAAACATGAATTTAAAAAAATCATGATTTTGAAAAAGATTATAATCTTAGAAAATGTTCAAGACTTTTTAAAATGAAAAAAATCATGAACATTTTTAAATGTGGAGATGGAACCACTAGTAGAAAAAGGGTCAAATGTGAAGCACATTAGTGCCGGTTTGATTTTGATTCGGCATTAATGTGTCCATTAGTGTCGGTTCCAACGGCTAGCCGGCCACTCTCATTAGTACCGGTTCGTGGTGAACCTTTATCACCGGTTCGTGCCATGAACCGGTACTGAAGAGAGTGGTGGCAAGATGTTGTCAGTCTGGGGCCCCTCCAGCACCTTTAGTACCGGTTCGTGCCACGAAACGGTACTAAAGGTCGACGTACATAAACCCTTCGTCCACCCCAGCTCGCTCTGTTCTTCCCCTTTCCCCTCTCCTTCCTCTGTTCTTCCCCTCTCTTCCTCGAGCTCATCACAAGCTCATCACACATTTTGCCCAAAATTTGTCAAGATTTGAAGGCCCCCATCCATTCAAATGATCACAAAGGTTAGCAACTTTGTCCTTTCATCTCTCATTACTAGATTAGCTCTTGCAATGCTTTGTATAGTGATTAATTTGTGAGTTTAGTAATTTGGGAGGAATTATATGTGCTAGTATTTGATTTATATGCAATTTGAGGTCAAAAATAACACTTAGTTTGCATATGTAGGTGTGGTTTACTTAGTGTCTTCTAAATCTCCATCGTAACCACCGTCGATTGCCCGGACCGTCCCGTCGCCGGCACCACCTTGTGGTGAGACTCTTGTTCATGAATGTTTTACATTACCAAATTGATGTTTGCGTGATTTGGATATATAGTTACTCGTATAATTATCTTACCCGTACGTTGTTTGTTATACATAGTGCCATGGTTTTGATATCCGTCCCCGTCGGCCCTCGTCCTTGTTATGACTCGGATGTGGTATATTCTCTTTTAAAACTAGTTGTTGCATTTCGTGTTTATGACAAATTATGCCCATCAAGTTGACATAGATATTTTTATCTAGGAGGTATGTGAACCGGAAATTCCAACCGACCCTATTGTCGAGAGGTTAAATTTAGTTGAAAGAGAAAACGAGTATTTGAAAGAAAAATTGAAAAGAATTGAGGGGAGAAGATGGAATTGGAGTTGCATGTTGCCGATGTCGTCGATGATCACAAGATCAAGATGGGGAAAATGCGGTTGAAGATTAGAAAGATTAGAAAATATGCCATTGATAGTGTGGCTTGGTATCATTATGTTGTTGGATCAATTATTACCTTAGTTGCGATCTTGATCACATTTGTTGTTGCATTTAAATTCTTTAGCTAGAGAGTTATTTGTATGTTGCATTTAATTAAGTGTTGTATATGAACTTTATGTATGAACTTTATGTATGAACTTATATTAATTTGGTCTATTCGGTGTTGTGTAATGAAGATGAGCCGACAATGGATGTATGATGACCGATGCTCTCCCGAGTTCATTAATGGCGTGCATACTTTTCTGCTTGCTGCTGAGGCAAACAAGCGGGCGGATGGTTTTATGCCTTGTCCATGTGCTGGTTGTAAGAATGGTCACAATTACTCTACGTCAAGAACCATTCACGTCCACCTATTTGAGTCCGGTTTCATGCCCCACTATAATGTTTGGACCAAGCACGGAGAAAGAGGGGTTATGATGGAAGACAATGAAGAAGAAGAGGACGACGATGGCTATCCTGGCCATGGGTTCCCTGAATACGATGATACAACAATGGGGGAAGAAGTTGAGCCGGTAATGCGGGAAGAAGCTGAAGAAGAGGCATCAGATGAGCCCGCTGATGATCTAGGTCGGGCCATTGCCGATGCAAAGAGAAACTGCGTAAGTGATTTGGAGAAGAAAAAGTTGCAGCGCATGTTAGAGGATCACAAGAAATTGTTGTACCCGAATTGCGAAGCTGACAAAAAGAAGTTGGGCACCACACTGGAATTGCTGCAATGGAAGGCAGAGAATGGTGTATCTGACAAGGGATTTGGAAAGTTGCTGGTAATGATAAAGAATATGCTTCCAAAGGACAACGAATTGCTCGAGAGTACGTATGAAGCAAAGAAGGTTGTCTGCCCTCTAGGGTTAGAGGTGCAGAAGATACATGCATGCCCTAATGACTGCATCCTCTACCGCGGTGAGTACGAGGATTTGAACGCTTGCCCGGTATGCGGTGCATTGCGTTATAAGATCAGTCGCGATGACCCTGGTGATGTCGAGGGTGAGCGCCCCAGGAAGAAGATTCCTGCCAAGATGATGTGGTATGCTCCTATAATACCATGGCTGAAACGTTTGTTCCAAAACAAAGAGCACGCGAAGGCGATGCGGTGGCACGTAGAAGACCGTAAGAAAGACGGAAAGTTGAGAGTACCCGCTGACGGTTCGTAGTGGAGAAAAATCGAGAGAAAGTACAGGGAGGAGTTTGCAGGTGACCCAAGGAACGTATGGTTTGGTCTAAGCGCAGATGGCATTAATCCTTTTGGGGAGCAGAGCAGCAACCATAGCACCTGGCCTGTGACTCTATGTTTGTATAACCTTCCTCCTTGGTTGTGCATGAAGCAGAAGTTCATTATGATGCCAGTGCTCATCCAAGGCCCTAAGCAACACGGCAACGACATTGATGTGTACCTAAGGCCATTAGTTGAAGAACCATTACAGCTGTGGAATGGAACAGGTGTACGTGCGTGGGATGAGCACGGACAGGAAGAATTTGACCTAAAGATGTTGCTGTTCATGACCATCAATGATTGGCCTGCTCTCAGTAACCTTTCAGGACAGACAAACAAGGGATACCGCGGATGCACGCACTGTTTGGATGATACCGACAGTATATATTTGGATAGTTGTAGGAAGATTGTGTACCTGGGACATCGTCGATTTCTTCCGAGCAGGCATCCCGTAAGAAAGAAAGGCAAGCATTTCAAAGGTGAGGCGGATCACCGGATGAAGCCTCGCCACCGTACTGGTGCTGATGTACATGATAAGGTCAAGGATTTGAAGGTAATCTTTGGAAAGGGTCCTGTCGGACAACCTGTTTCGAAGAATGCTGACGGATGCGCACCCATGTGGAAGAAAAAATCTATATTTTGGGACCTGCCATATTGAAAAGACCTAGAGGTCCGCTCCGCAATCGACGTGATGCACGTGACGAAGAATCTTTGCATGACCCTGCTTGGCTTTTTGGGCGTGTATGGGAAGACAAAAGATACACCAGAGGCACGGGAGGACCAGCAATGTATGCACGGAAAAGACGGCATACATAAGGGTCAGGCCAACTACGCTCTTACCAAAGAAGAGAAGGAAATCTTCTTTGAATACCTGCTCAGCATGAAGGTACCATCTGGCTTCTCGTCGAATATAAAGGGAATACTAAATATGGCAGAGAAAAAGTTCCAGAACCTAAAGTCTCATGACTGCCACGTGATTATGACGCAAGTACTTCCGGTTTCAAGTCCGACACCGTGTCAGGCCACACCTCCTGCTTCAAGTCTAGCACAGCATCAATCCTCCTGCTCCAACTCAGCCACGTCAGCCGTCTCCGCCGTCTCAGCAATCGCAGAAGAGACACGCCGCAGCTATGGTGCGTAGCAGTACGAGTCAAGGTAGTTTAGTAAGTACAGGCGGAGACAAGCGATATAAATATGGTCCAAGCCTCGCTCCTCTTCCTCAGAGGCCTTATGACATGACCGAGGAGCAAAACACAGCCATAGTGCAAGCCCAAGTGGACGCCCATTTTGCACCGAAACCGGCACCGCTGCCAAGGGAGAAAGTGCCTGAGGAAAAGATTGACCACTTCATTCGTATGGCTAGAGCACCAGCTCCCAAGCCTGTTAACTCAGACTATGAGCGCAAAATCAGGAAGTCACATCGAGCACGACTACAGAGGGAAGCGAGCTTGAGCTCGAGCCAACAAGCAGCGGGCAACAAATGCGGGAAAACCATTCCCCAGCTGGGAGAACAGACGGCGCAATCGATCCCCCCGCTTGTTGTGCCAACAACACATGAGAGGAGGCTGCGCGCCCAATATTATTGTGAGAAAATCGTTAACGTTCCCCAGCCGGGCGATGTGGTAATAACGGAGGAGCATATAATGCAGGCTGAAATGCTCAAGATCTCTGTTGGACAACTCCTCGAAATCGAGCCCATGTCTCTGCTTAGAGAGGAGGAAATAAAACGGAAATATGTCCGGGGCCAACC